AAAGATGGGTAGAAGATATTGTGGACCGTCACGCTTTCTTAGAAAGTGGAAGTTTATCAACTCGCAACTTGGTGAGATCATTATTATTATTAAATAATAATCTATGAATGCATCCCTATCTAATAGATCTATTGTGCGCCTAAAAACCCAACTAAAACAATTCTACACTATTTATAAATCTCGTAATTATTGTGGGCTTAATTTTATCTATTTGAATTTGGGACTATAAATCGGCAACGTCGTAAAACTACCTAACGCAATCTGCACAAGATATGGTTGACGTACACCTATTTCCTATTTTACATGACTTTCATTGAAGAAAAGGAAATAAATGTTAACTGTTCTTTCGGAAAGTGTGAATTGGTTTCTATGTAAGCAACGTCTTTGAAGAAGAGAATGTGACGTTCACTCTTAACTCGGTAAATGGATAAACCATCATTAAGGTTAGATAGGTTCCCATCGAACACATATTTTAAATGCTCATAAATCTTTTAAGCACTATCTAAAAAAGTATTATCCATTGAATTTAGTGCATTTCTGAACACTATATAATTTAAAAGAACTATGCCTTTGATATTTGACCCCAAAGGTATAATTTTTGAAAATTTCACATTTCCTCAGTAAAATAGAAAATAGACGGTGTATATAACATTATATGACTTTTTACAAATTCTTGTATTCTTTTCTTTTAGAACACGAATAATAATAAAAAATGTATATAAACGATTTGTAGGCAATAATATATAAATTAGTACGCAAGGGCTAATGCAGATAACTGACTTTTATGTTACATTCGGTTCGTTAAGTTTTATGAACTTATAAACAATAGCAACAGACAAAAAGGGTTAAAGTTTTCCTTTTTCTTTAAGGGCAGAAATAGTAAAATTCTAAAGCCTAATATTACATGAACGTTTCCGCAAAAGGGTAAATTTTGTAGGCTGTTGCTTTAAAAAAAGAAAAGGTTGAATGAGGGGAGGGTAAATTTGCGGTTATAAAAGTAACAATTATTTTAAGGAAACAATAACTAAAGAAATTTCAATTCGTAAGAAATACTACAAAGTTGCCCCCAAAATTAATAATCACAGAATTATGTTACATTATTTTAGGTATAGACTATAAGAAATTAGATTAGAATAGTTAAAGTGGTTATTATCTTAAATAACTTTAATAATATTACTAAATGCGGCCATTATCATTCTGACAATCTTAAACTAGAACAAACATAGTAATACTTTCTTAAAATTGGTCCGGATGTTAATATATAAAAAATAATTGTCTACAACCTTGGTAGCCACTCAATTAACTAAACCAACTATTTTCTTATAGCTTTCCACACGTCAGACTTTTGTGGGCCCGCCAGACTGTGGGATTTCTGAAAAACTGTCCACGTGCTCTTATCTGTTTTAAACAACATCAAACAGATAAAATTATAATTTTATTAGCTTATAATAACTAGCACGTATGTTACTCATAGTATAAGTGTAAACAGAAATATTGGCATAATTAAATACTTTTTATTGCGCTAATAAATGTGTTTACACTCAAAATGTTGTTTATAATTTTACACGTTTTATGCTAATATATTTAATATATTTAATTTGGAGAAATAATTCTTAAAACTGCAATAATATTTGTAAAAACAAATTAAATGATTATAAACAAAATGTTTATAAATATTTTTTAATTCTACGAATTTTACGAAAAACAAATTTATTTCAAGGCCAGCTTGTATCTGCGAATTAATTTTAGTTTATATCTCGCACTTTTTCATTAATAAAAACACCCAATACATGTCTTATCATTTTATGCTTTCACTCATAACTTGCGATGTTTCTTATCAATAAATATACTCATTTTTGTAGGAGATATGACTCAACATAAATTTTAATCAATTTTGCTTGACAACATAATTAGTAAAATTATAATAATTTACATTGAAGCATATATTAAAACTATAGAACAAATATTCTTACATATTCTAAAGACCGGCGCAAAAACTTTGATACTAAATAACGATAAGAATTTCCATAAATTATTAAGACTACCTCAATAGGTGGATAATACACACAATGTGACTATTATTAGTTACTGTTCTTTCCACAATATCTTTTCTTCATTATAATATTAATTTCTTTGACGAATGTGACGCATCGAAAAGATAACGAAAAGACATAAGAAGGGTTCAAACAGTAATGATGAAGCAGCAACAAAAATTTGATTAATTTATTGAAATTTGGTTGACCATACAACGTTCTTTTATAGGAAATATTCGAATTTTTATTTAAAGTAATCTATGACGATTCATAATAGGTTGAAAAAATCCAGCAAGTAATCAGTTGATATATTGATAGAATACTCTATTTAACAACAAAAGAGTTTGAAAAAATTTTCATACAACTAGTTTCAAAATAAATATCAACGTTTGGATGCCTCTAAATTCCTAAACCTGAGTAAAAATAATTTTAAAATTATAAAAAAAAATAAAATAATATTAAAATTATACGGTAATACAAAAATATTTTGGATTATACACGATAATCCTCTGCAAAAATGACAACCGTAAAAAGCAATTAAAAAGACATCCACAATTTCTCATAGTTCAATCAGGTCAGCTTCTGCTTTTTTAGCAACATCGAAACTATTATGTATTTATATATAAACCATGCGCAATACCGATTGACTATATTAGGAACTTTATTTCTAACATATTATATATATTATATATAATATCTAAAAATTATATAATATATTATTTTAGCCAACTCCAAGACGCTTCTCTAGAAAGCTTCTATGTCCCTTAAAGAGATTTAAGGTGGTTTTTTAGTCTATGTGTTCTTATATGGTGCCGCGATAGGCCAATATCTAACTTAACCGAAGTAAACTTAATCTATGTGCAAAACATTAAAAATAATGTAATGCGGTTATCATTTGGTTATCATTTGGAGATAAAACTTTACAACTGCCACAATTGATTACAAGGACCGTAGTGTTCCGGAACCTTATAAGGAAGCTAATAAGGTTGTAGTAAGGTTGGCATTCATTATAACCTATTTGCATTTAACCAAATCAACAATTCAAGTCTTTCTCAATGCAGGTAAAGCAAGATTTTGAAAACAAAAAATCGTATCTAATCAATGGGAAATGTGTTACGTTTTATCATGATATTGCTGAGTCACACATATTTTATGAATTGGCAAAAACTAAGAGACTTTATAAAGCGCTTTGATATATCCATATCACAAAGCTCTGACATTGTATCATCAGATTATAATTTGTTCTAATAGCTGTAATACTTTTTCGCTAACATCACTATTAGTGCAGATTTTTGACCTCAAAAGAAATCGTAGGAAAATTAATGCATCAGCATTTCAATTACTAGATTCTGAAATTCTTGAAAGGAGTTGAAATAGGT